AAATGGTTGGTTTCTGAAGGGCGAAAAAAACTCTTTAAAACTCGTAATTTTGCATTAAAATATCTTTTGCATGCAAAATAATTAGTTAATTAAAGTGTATTGATATGATACCCAAAAGCCAAAAAATTTTTGCATTCTTTTTGCCCATTTGCATATGCTTTAAACTACAAATTTCCCATAAATTCGACAAAAAAAGCCAAATTTCACCTTAAAATTGAAGCAAAAAATAAGAAAGGCTAAAATACAACAAGACCAGCCATAATTCATTTTTTCAAGTTTTATAATAATAAAATGTGCGTTCATTTCTTATCTACACTTGTTTGACTTGGTTTCATTTTCAATAGCTTTTTACTTCAACCAAGCCAGGTGGAATAGCAGCATCCAGATAATGCATAGAAGAAAAAATATCGCAAAGATTAGTCATACGCTGTTCTATTTTTTCAATTTAGAAAATTCATTTCCTTTTCCTTGTTTGATTATGCTGATTGATATTATACTATAATGATAAGTTTTTGAGTTTGATAAGGTTGTGCAAGATTACAGTATAGTATGTATTTGCATCTACACTATTTTTAAAAATCATTATTTTTCAACAACTTAGATTTTGAAGAATTATATTTATCTGCACATTAACTTCCCCCGTCACCATTCTTAATTCCTTCGATAAATGTTCCTTATCAACTTTGCAATATTACAATGCTATTACAATCAATATTGCAAAGAAGGATAAAAGTGAGGAAATTTATTCGAAAAACAATTTTTAGCAGCAAATATCATTGAATATTTAATAAGCAATGTTATAACGAAATTAACTTTCTTAATTTGCCTTTTTTATAATAATTAATTTCTGAAAGAATTAATAAATTATTAAAAATCAGTTTTTTTTATTACTTCTTTTTCTCATTCTATCAATATTATTTTATAAATAAATTAAAGATTGCAGTTATATCTTAAATTATATATTAAATATTATTGTTTTTATTTTCTTATTTCGTTTACTTATTTTTTATAAAAGCGCACTTCATTTTTGGTTTGGCTTGGTCCACCGACTTTCCTTTAAGAATTTCGTGGAAACATGGTCCCGTTGAACTTTATGCTTGATACTTAACGCAGATCGAAGTCATCATACCACTCGACTGTCCTTCCCTTAATTTGATTCAGCTATTCTATATTATTTATTGTTATTTTAAATATTTATTAAACGTTATTATTTTAAAAAGTATTAAAAATGTTAAAAACCAATTTTTTACTTTAAATAATACAAATGCAGTAGAATTTTCAAGCTGCAATCAGCAATAAGCGTAAAATTCTTAAAAATCCCCTCGCTTTCTTGAGTTGATTTGGTTTTAAAGAAATGTATCGGCAATAAAATTTACTGCTTCATTTCCTTTGAACGAAATTCGAATCGTTTTCTAAAACTGTTTTATATTTGAATTTTTTTTTGAATTTTTTAGAAATTTGTGCTCAAATTCTGGAATAATTTTCAACAAATTTTGGAAAAATTTTTTCATACGGGAAATTCGTTTATTACAATGCCTCTAAGAATCCGATTTTACCAATTTTTATTTTTAAACTGATTTGGGAAAAAAACTATTTGATTAAAGAAAAAAGAATTAAAATGAGACTGACGGAGTTAAATTGGATAAAATAAAAAAGATGCAAAAAGGCGACTTGTCCACCACTATTGAAGACTTTTTAACGCACCAATATTATTTTCTTGTCATATTATTTTCTTCTTTTCATTTTATATATATATATATGTTCAATCATCAATTTCATATATATATATATATATAAAACATAAAAAAAAAACAAAAATCTCTATATAATTTCTTTAAGTGATTTGCTTAAAATTATCTAATATTGCTTAAAGATTAGCATCATCAGAAAATGAAAATTTCTTTTTTTTACGCCAAACTTTGAAATACTATCTTAATTCCACATTGGTTAGCTCACACATCTCTGGTTAGGCACGCTGAACGAGTGTCACAAATGTAAGAAAATTTTGCCTGAAGTCAGTTAGGGAAAGAAGTGTAAGTAATTAGTGATTATCAGCCTGGTTTCAATGGCAGTTTTGCTAATAGCAAGGGCTCGAAATGATAATTAAGCAATAACCATTCGACCATTCTTCCCCATATATCGATCAAGTGCTGCCTTTCATTCGAAAAATTAAATAAATAAAAAATATGGGTCTTTTAAATTTTATATTTAGGTGAAGTTTTATTTATTTATTGAAATATTTAAAAAGAGCACTTCAAGTTTTGCAAAATATTTTAATTTTAAAAATATTTTAATTAAACCGTTTATTTGTATCAACTTTTAACCCTGTAAAATTAAGAATGGATGAGTGATTCCAATATTTTCGCATTATGATAATGTTATTACATAATTATCGTATTTTCGGGCTCATTTCTTTAAAGGTTTTTCATAATTTTTCATAATTTCATAATTCCGAAACTGCACAGCACTGCACTTCTCTTCTCATGCTAGCACTCGCTACTTCTACTTTGCCTCTGTGCATTTACTCTGGTAATATTTCTCGTTCAAAATAGTGAGTGGATAATAATCCAAATTATCCTGGTGAGAAGATTCGAGTCCTGCTTTCCATGAGAAAATATTTTGTTAAAAAATTCGAAAATTCGATATTTTTAAATCTTTTCCGGCATTACCAATTACATTTTTTTTAGAAGGAACTGAATCAATGATGCTTAAACACATTTACTGCGAAAAAACTATTTTACAAAATTCCGAAGGCATTTTGATCCAGGCAATTCAATATTTAATATATATTTTTGCTAAAATTTAAATATGCTAAATAAATATGCTAAAATTTAATAAATGAAACAAATTTTTGGTTTTGTTCATTTTAATTTCTCTTATTTCTCTCATATTTTGATGCAGCTATCCTTAAAACGTTGGTTTGCTATAATAAACCTGTAAGGCCCAATAAATCAGAGAAAAATATCGAGAGAACCCTTAGTAGAAAAAATTTTAATACGAGATAAATACGAGTTAAGCCGTAGTATGCAATCATTCATCAACAACTGCAGAATGTGGACTGAACGGATAGTGGAATATTTTCAGTCGATCATCCTGGGCGATATCCTCCTTTTTAATTAATGTAAACATAATTTTAATGAAAATGTAGAAAATGAAAAGAAAAAAATTTAGGATTATTTATTTTGTGAATACGCATTGATCCCTCATTTTTCTGGTGGAAATGTTACGATTATTGGAAGCACTTATTTCTCCGATACTTTGCTTGCATATTGTCATATCAATGTAATCCACCTCTATTTATTTTAAAATCCTTTATCCTTCGGAGAAGGTGAATAAATAGAGAGAATCATAAAAAGATTTACTACTTTATTTTTTTTGACAAAATCTTAATGAAATTTCTTTCTTTAATTGTTTAATGAATTTCAGTTGTTTTCTTGTTTTTTTCTTAATTATCAGGGGAGAATAGCCGAGGAAACATTAGCGATTTAAAATATGCTGAGAAACAAGGGTTCTGCTTCCGATAAAAATAAAATAAAACTGTCATTGAAAAATCCGTATTTCTAAGCAGCTCCCTTGCAAATTTTTAATCGTATTAACCAGCGGAACTCGTCCAACCAGAAATGGTGAATGTCAATGACTTACTTGCTTTTTTTTTAATTTAGTAATTATTCATTCGGACGAAACGACGGCGTTTCGGGAGCATTTCGGAGAGGGAACATTTCGTTGAAAATGAATTTATGAAATGATGAACCTACTGATATTTGTAGCAATTATTGGTCAACTCCTTAAGGTTTTATATTTTAATAGTTCTATTTTATTTATTTTTATAAATTCTATTCTATTCTATTCAAATAGTTCTATTATACTTGTTTTATATAGAAGATTAAAAGTGCTTTGAGATTGCAAAATGGTAGAGAAATGATTATTTTCGAAATTAAAACATGCCATAAAATCCGCTGGATCTGTATGTAATCTGTTCTTTTCGCTCGATTGCTGCAAATTGTTGTCTTGCAGCTAGAATGACCAATTCCAAGGATTTTATTATAAAGTTTTGGAAATGATACCACACCATTTCCTTAAATATTTATTTGCCATGCAGGACTTGAACGATTTACTGCACGAATATGAAAACACTATATAGCGCTTATGGCATCTGGCTTCTACAACTAAATCTTTAATCGATAATGAACAACAATAAAATATATTCATAATATAGCAATAAGGATAACGGCAAAATTGTTTTGGCAAAGAATTTATAAAAAATCGATTAAAAAAAACATAAAATAAGTGAAAAATAAAAAATTATTCTAGAACATTGAGATCCAACCATTTGGCTCGAAAGCAAGTTCATTAGTAAGGAGAGAGAGTTGCATAGAAAACAATTTATACTTTAAATTCAATTTATACTTTAAATTTGCAAATAATATAATCTTAATAATTTGATTAACATGTCAAAACATTTGAAGAAACAGTACAAAAAAGATATATTAACATATAAAGTTTAAGAGATTAGTTGGCACACTTGCGACAGTTAATCCCAATTTTTTTTTTGTGCATAATTTTGGGAATTGCAAAAATATTACAAAAATTTCGCGATCTCAGCGACATATCATGAAGCATATCATGAAGCGGATGAATAACAATGAATTATTTAAAAGCAAAAAAATCTTGTTTTATTTTATTTAAAAGAGGACCAAGTGTGACAGCGTTGTGCTTTGTCAGCAACAAATTATAAATATTGGTAAACAAATTATAAATATTGATAATATTGATAAATAAATTAATAAAAACACGCTGATAATAAAGAAAATAATCTATTTTATCACGTTATTTTCATCTAGCAATTGTGACATTTCCTTTCTTTGGGTAGCTTTTAAAAACTTTGATCAATATTTTATGTCCAATTGATTTCATATCCATAATTGATTCAATTGATTCAGTAACTGACAATGATTCAATTAAAAATAACTCCTATAATTTAACAGTTGAGCATACCACAAATGGTATCACTTCATGATGGATCTCCAATTGTTGGTCATGAAGCATTCAGTGCGAATGGCAGACTTGTCACTGAATTTCTTGGAATTCCATTTGCTGAGCCGCCCGTGGGCGAATTGAGATTCAGAAAACCCAAACCTAAAGCACCGTGGAGAAAACTGTTTAATGCTACCACATTGCCAAATTCGTGCGTACAGGTAATTTCTTGAAATTATTAGTGATGTCAAATAAAGCTGATAGATTGCGCAAAAATCGTCGAGTATTAGAGAATGTACTACTAGACAATTTTGCTACGCATTAGAAATTATCGAATGATTAAATTCAGAGTTTGGATTCGTATTTTGGCGACTTTGATGGAGCTACTATGTGGAATAGTAATGTACCATCTTCTGAAGATTGCCTTTATTTAAATATATTCATTCCTGGAAAAATTGATCCAGCAGCTAAATTACCTGTATTATTATGGGTTTACGGTGGTGGCTTTTGGTCTGGTTGTGCAACTCTGGAAATATACGACGGGAAAATATTTGCTAGGTAATTTATTCTATCATATCTATCATATCTCATTTTTCAAGAATTTTTCGTTCTCATTGTGGTAATTCTGTTCAAGTTTTGATAATTTTAAACTTTAAACAAACATGCTACGATTTCAGTGAGGAAAATGTTATTATTGTATCCATGAATTATCGAGTTAGCGTATTTGGATTTTTGTATATGGCAAGAGAAGAAGCACCAGGAAATATGGGTTTATGGGACCAACTTATGGCACTCAAATGGGTAAATTTCGTAAAAAAAAGAAATTGAAAAAGAAAATAAATATCCGCTCAAATTTCTTGTTTTTTCTTGTTTTTTATTCGCACACCCGACTCTTTTTTTACAATAATTCTCATTGGTTTCAAACTGAATGCGAATATCCATGAAAGTTAAGGTTCATAAAAATATTGATTTATTTGGCGGTGATCCGAATCGTATCACACTTTTCGGTGAAAGTGCTGGTGCTGCTGCGGTATCGATGCATTTGTTGAGCCCAAAAAGTACGCCTTATTTTCAACAAGCAATTGTTCAAAGTGGCAGTGCTACTGCGCCTTGGGCGCTGGAACAACGGTAACTTGTTTAAAAAAGGTTGTAAAGGCTTCATAAGTTATAGTAGATAGCCTGGTGGATGAATATGCTAATATGATAATCAGATTCAAATAGATTAATTGAACTGAAATGTATAAATCTGCATCATGTTTTAATTTATCGAAATTTAATATTTCTGAATTCTGATTAGAAAGTATTTATAAAATGTTCTTTGACTTTTTCTGATATATTTAGGAAAGTAGCAATCGCAAGATCAGTGGCATTATATGAAGATATGAAATGCGGTAATATGTCAAAAGATCCCGAAAAATGGGATCTTAATAAGGTAAGCAAACATTCTAAATCTTTATTATGAACATGGTACTTCCATTTTGAAATGAGTCTCTAGTGAAAGGGTCCAATAGTCAGTACAAATTAAAAATGGCTGCCTGGAAGAAGAAGAAAAAGGCAACGAAATTAATGCCCAAGAACGAGTTTAAACTTATCAAAACAATATTCTTGCTTCTTAAAGTAAGCGGCTCAGTTAAATAACCTTTTATTTAAAATTGAAATAGATGTTTTATGATATATAATTTTGATCTTTTTTAACAATAGGATTAACTCAATCATCTTTCAAAGTTTAAATTTATCACCATGAAATTTCTTTATTTTACTTATCAGATAAATTAAAGAAAGTATAAACGAATGTACTGCTGAAATTATTGTTTCTAACAATACATGCTTCTGCACGCTTGACAGAAATTCGTTATTAGAATTTCGAATTTGGATTAAGAACTTAACTCGCATTTCTATCTCGAAACATTTATAAATCTACAAGTTAACCTGGTGGAAATCCCGTCCTACTATCAGTCAGTGGAATGAGTCTAATCAAATCTAATCAAAAATCTTGAACTTTGTTAAAATCAATTTCAATTAATTATCGCAGGTATTACAATGCTTACTGGATGCTCCAGCAGAATTAATTCGAGATTCTGAATGGGCACCAGTAATGGAATTCGTTGATTTTCCATGGGTACCAGTAATTGATGGTGATTTTTTAATTGAACAACCGTCGACTGCACTTAAGCAAGGAAATTTCAAAAAGACACAATTGCTTGCTGGTTCGAATCTCGATGAATCAATTTACTTTATCGTTTATCAACTTGGTGTAAGGAATTCGAGTTTTTATAGTGAGAAAAACATAAGTGATAAAGCGTTTTATTGCCGTTTGTTGATTGATTTTGACCAACTTCAATATTAATTACTTTCAAGCATTTTTACAAAAAAAAATAATATTTTTAAAAAAATAGATTTGTAATGTAAGAAACGATTGCATTTATTGCTATACTGAAAGAAACATTAGTGCGGAGCTTGTGGTTGTCGCTTTGAAATATTTATAACTGAGATTAGCGTAGTTATTTTATTTAATATATGATCGAAAGCGAGTTTTTTTCTAAGAACATTCATTATTGTTGATTAGACTCGATCGCTGGCTTGGCAGAATGAATTAATTTTTGCCAGAGAGTGCACTGGCGATATAAGTAAAAGTGTGTAGCATTGCCCGGATTTTTGAAGGACAGGTTTACTTCTGCATCTCTTTTAATTATTAGTGGATATTTTCTTGCACCGTTAAAGGATAGTAACATTTGCAGAAATATGATAATATACCGTACCATCCGAGGGGCCCAAACGTTAATTCTTTCCTTTGGTCGCTGCCCTACAACTTGAAGAATTTCGCCTTAGCATTCACCGTTTACTTATAAAACTATTGTTCACATCGATTCATTTATATGGTGGAATTCTATATTAGTTGTGATTTAAGAAAAGGAATCATTGGGAAACAGAGTTGAATAGATAAATATATCATCTTAGTAGCAGCAGCAACAGTACTGTACTAATCATGACACATGACACAGTTGTTGTAAATGAATTTCGTAGTAGTGTATTCGTATCACAATTTTTTAAACTTTATTTATTCGGCCATTTTCGGCTATTTTTGCAAGAAAAAAAGAATTTAAAATTACAAATTACAAGTAAAATCATGGAAATAAAAATTAAATCGAAAAAACTGTCATTTGAATTTTTTTAAATTAAAACAGTTGAAAGAGATTTAATGTGAAACTACTCTTTGTTTTCAAAACTTTCATATTTCTGAGAATGAAGGAAAATGCATATTTTCTTATCATTTTTAAATAAATTACAGAAAATGTAAATGAATTCTAAAACGATTAAAATGTATTAAACGTTCCCATATTAAATTTGGCTTTTTTGCCAAAGCGTTTCAAGGCGTTTCTTCATTAATTATAGAGAGATTTAATTTAATGCGAACAATGGAATTGTAGCCTTAATTTCTGCTGCATTTTAAAGGCACATTTTAATTAACTCAACATGTTGTATTATTTTTGGAATAAAACTTATTTTTAAAATAACACTTTTTTGCTATTAAATACTAAAAATTCTTTTCGATGAAAAAAAAAGAATAAAAGCCTTAATATTTCTAAAAATCTTTTCATTTCTAAAAAAAAGTATATATCAATTGAAAAATACCGGAATTAATTTCGAAAATTTTAGGATATTTTTCCACCAAATGATTTTTTTACAAAGAACGATTTTATAACGAATAGATCAACGTGGCTGAGGAGTATTTCTAACCTATTACCGCGTTCATATATGAAATCACAACTTGGATTGGCATCGATCATTCATGAATATGAACCTGCCGAATTGCCAGTTAAACCAAACGATTGGATTGATTCACTCGATAAAATGCTTGGTGATATGCACTTCACATGCAATGTTAATGAATTAGCATTAGCCAATAATATTCATGGCGGTAACGTTTAATCTTTGCCTATCTTTCACTACAAAGTTCAAAATTAACTAAAGACATATTAAAAAGAACAAGCGGATGCGCTGAATTTTTATGCTTTTTTTAGGTGATTCTTACTATTATTATTTTACACACCGCTCAAGTCAGCAAACTTGGCCATCATGGATGGGTGTTCTACATGGATATGAAATAAATTTCATTTTTGGTGAGCCACTGAATTCACAGAAATATAAATATACCCAAGAAGAAAAAGAGCTTAGTCGCCGATTTATGAGATATTGGGCCAATTTTGCAAGAACGGGGTAAATCTTTTTTTTGCTTTTTTAAATCTTTTTTTTTTAAATTTCATTGTCTATTTTATTATTTTTTTCATTTTATCTATGTCATTTTATATTAATTTTATATTAATTAGATAAATTTTTATTTTTTCAATTTAATCTTTTTTTTTGTCTTTGGCAGGAGTAAACCTGCTATTATGTCAAAAATCCAGGTGGCTGCTGGGGATTCACCTGTAACTCTATCACCATGTGACTCTATGGTGAAAGGGTCAGATACACTTGATACGGCGTCCGCGTCTCCCGAAGCGCATGATAATAAAATGTGCTCGCAAGCCAGGGTAATTGCTCGAAACCTATCAAGGGGAATAGCCCTCTGCACGCGCGGCGAGGTATTAGCCTTATCAGCGTGGAACGTCAGAATGCTTATAGACGTTGCAAGCCAAGCGATTACTGTCCACACCCTGTCTAAGTATCGTGTGGATATCGCTTGCTTATCGGAGGTACGTCTTCCTCATTTCGGGTCTTCGGAAGTGATTATCAATCCTGGCTCGGAGCAGAAATACTGGCAATATCACTATGATGCTTCGGATAACTCGGGGCAAAATGGGAATGTAGCGATTGTCATGTCTGACAAGGCCCATTCTGCCTTAATTGAGTGGAAACCGACCGTATGGCCTATGCCCGTTTTAAGGGTAAATTCTGCAATATCTCGGTCATCAGTGCTTATGTTCCAACTCTGTCGGCAGATGACCGTGATAAAGACAAGTTCCATGCGGAACTTCAACTGCTAACAAAGTCTCTACCGAAACATGACATGTTCATAATCGGGGTAGACTGGAATGCTCACATAGGTCATAATGCAGCTGCGATGACCCCAACAATTGGCAAATATGGCATCGGAGACCGGTGTACCAATGGGGAACGTCTTCTTCGTTATGAGCATGAACTTTTACTAATATCTGCTTCCGGTATCATCTAGAAAGCATCTAGTAACATGGAACTCCCCGGACAACCAATACTTCAACCGGATTGATTATATCTTAATCAGTCATCATTGGAAGGATTCCGTACTAGATAGTCGCTCCTACCGTGGTGCTGAAACGGGCAATCTCCATGGATCTGACCATGTTATGGCCCGAGCCAAGATCCGCATAAAACTGACAACTCGCAAAACAGCATCCCTCAAGATCCTTCAACTATCTCAAACTAAAAAATTCGGGAACAGCGCATTTCAAACTGAATTATTGAAGCATCTGAATGATACAAATATCAATGATTTTTCTGGTACGGCAAATGAATACTGGTCCAAACTAAAGGAATGTCTCCGAAAGTCAGATACTTCCACGATAGGGCGTACTAGCAGGAGGTGTGCTGGTTGGGTTAGATGCAACTGTCCAACTGTCTGAGAAAGCTGCTAAAGCACGAATGTCAGATGACCCTGGCTACCGGATGCTTCGAAGATTTGCAATGAAAGCAGCATGTTGGAAATCATTATTGGAGTGACATGGCCTCAAGAATGAAAGTGGCGACTCGATTAGGCGATAATAGGAGACTATTCTGCTTTCTTCATACTATGACTCGGAGAACGATCAGTGAAATGGTAAGAGACAGCAATGGCGTGCCAGTCAAGAGTATTAAGGATCGCCTGATAAGATGGAAAGAATTCTTTGAGATCAAACTTAACCATGAAGCGCCATCTGTTGCCCCTGATATAACTGATATGTTCGCTGAACCATATGCTTGCAACTGCGACCCCTCGACAGAAGAAGAAATAATATTTGTATAATATTAATAATATTTGTATAATAATAATATTATCCATAAGCTTAAGGCCAACAAAACACCAGGAGAAGATGGTCTTCGGACTCTTTAAATATTTCCATCGCCCTTCATAACAAATATGCTCTCTGTATGGGAAAAAGAAATATTACTAGATGATTGGAGCAAAGCGATTCTGTTCCCAATTCTCAGGAAAGATGCTAGGACATACTGCCACAATTATCGAGGAATCACCCTACTAGACGTTTCAGCGAAAATTTTTGCTTCCCTTTCACTCANTGCTAAAGCACGAATGTCAGATGACCCTGGCTACCGGATGCTTCGAAGATTTGCAATGAAAGCAGCATGTTGGAAATCATTATTGGAGTGACATGGCCTCAAGAATGAAAGTGGCGACTCGATTAGGCGATAATAGGAGACTATTCTGCTTTCTTCATACTATGACTCGGAGAACGATCAGTGAAATGGTAAGAGACAGCAATGGCGTGCCAGTCAAGAGTATTAAGGATCGCCTGATAAGATGGAAAGAATTCTTTGAGATCAAACTTAACCATGAAGCGCCATCTGTTGCCCCTGATATAACTGATATGTTCGCTGAACCATATGCTTGCAACTGCGACCCCTCGACAGAAGAAGAAATAATATTTGTATAATATTAATAATATTTGTATAATAATAATATTATCCATAAGCTTAAGGCCAACAAAACACCAGGAGAAGATGGTCTTCGGACTCTTTAAATATTTCCATCGCCCTTCATAACAAATATGCTCTCTGTATGGGAAAAAGAAATATTACTAGATGATTGGAGCAAAGCGATTCTGTTCCCAATTCTCAGGAAAGATGCTAGGACATACTGCCACAATTATCGAGGAATCACCCTACTAGACGTTTCAGCGAAAATTTTTGCTTCCCTTTCACTCAACAGACTTATGGAATTATGAAACCCTAAAGAGCAGGATGCCCCCTAATCAAGCTGGATTCAGACCGGGGCGCGGTTGTGCTGACCAGATATTCATGTTAAGAAGGGTGTTGGAACATCCGCTTCAGATATTTGCAACCCACTGCCACGTGTTTCATCGACATTGCGGCTGCTTTCGATTCAATTGATAGAGCGGCGCTTTGGAAGGTGATGGAATGCGACGGTTTTCCAGAGACGAAGAAGATCGACTCATAAAGGCATTTTATGAGCGCAGGTCGACGCAGGTGTATATGGAGAGCTTCCTTCGAAATAAAAACAGATGTCCGATGCGTTCTTTCCCCCACAATATTCAGCTGTGCGATAGACTGAGTAATGGACACCGCTTGTCGACAATCAAGAGGTGTCCGAATTAGTCCAGAGTATTGTATCACAGATGTTGAATATGCTGATGATGTAGTCCTTTTTGCTGATAATTATAACGAAAAGCAAGTAATGCTAAATAACGTGTCAGAAACTGCAGCAAGAATAGGACTCAGGGTCAATGTATACAAAACGAAGGCCTTTCCATTTTATGTACAAGAAGCTGATAAAATGCCTCTTTTTGTTCATTGCGGTTGAGGAAATGCCCGATTTTAAATACCTTGGGTCCACTCTAATACCAAATGGCCAGGCAAAAGACGATATTATAGACCGGATCATGGCAGCTAAAAATATTCTTTCGATTAACGAAACCTTTATGGAGCCGTCATGAAATTACCATGAAAACAAGTCCGCATCTATATATAATCTTTATATCCGTTCGATCTTGTTATATGGTTTTAAGACATGACCAATGAGAGTGGAGGATATTAAGAAGTTATCTGCTTTTGATCACTCTTGTCTTTGTGTATTTTACGGGTCTGTCGAGCAGATAAAAGATCATATGATCGCATCCACCTTCGTTCAAATACCACTAGCATAAATAATGTTATCAAAGAGCGTCGCCTTCGGTGGTTAGAGTACGTTTTCCGTCGTTCACCACAGGAATATTGAATATTATAATGCATATTTCGTTATTTGCTAAACCGTGTGATGGTTGGCGTCGAAAGCGAGGTGGGCCAATCAAAATCTGGACTGATACGGTTAGGAAAGATTTTGAACGTATAGGTAGACCAGCAATATATGGACTTAGACGATGAAAAAAGGAATGGCTTCTATTACTGTCGACTATGGCATCAGAGAGCGTCGTTTGAGAGTGTCTTATCCTTTTAGATGTTGGAACCAGCCTAACCAATAATGAGAGCTGTTAGAAAACGAAGAAGAATAAGGCTACTCTAAGTAGTATATTCATTTATTATGAAATTCTTCTTCAACAGCACTCATAGCTTCAGGCTTGGCTAAAGCCGTTTATTATGGCAGTTTTCAACTTTCTGAGAGTCAGAAGAGTGAATTCGGAGTCACTTAAATTCACTTTGAAAGATTTAATGATTTATCAAAGAACCACTGAACTTATCAAAGAATCAAAGAAGAACATGAACTACCGCTTGGCTATTATAGCCATCAGATAACCTGTAATAAAAATAGGCAATATTTTAAAAGACAAAGGCAAAAGGCTTAAAACATGGCAAAATAACGCTTTTAATTACTAGCCCAGAAATATGAAATTTCAAAGCATGAAATCACTGTTTGAAATTAATATAAATGGAATTTGGTTTGTTCTTGCTTACGTTTTTTGAACAAAGTGGCTAGCCTTCACAGTTTGTAATTAGGGCTCCACTGGCTAATACGGTTGAAAACAGGGAGTCACCTGGCTAGAAGCACTGTACAATTAGTCCACCATTGCCAAACAATTTTTTCTACATTAATGAAGTCACAAATCAATTAATCAAACCCTATAAAAGCGTCTAACGGATGTATTATTTCTTCTGTCCTTAGGTTTTTTCCTCCAAGGAGCGTCGGCCCATTCTCTGCTAACTCTTTGACCATATAATACATTATCGCTACATCCTTTCCACTTAAATAAAATTTATTGAGTTTAGAAGATATTTCGACTGCAATGTTTCGTAAAAATTTGAAAAATTTTGAAATTTTGTTTAGTTAGTAGATAAGAAATACTTTATAAGAAATATCAGCAGATAAAGTTGGCGAATTAAGTCCGCATGGGCAGTAAGGTAAATCACCGGATACGCAAGCTTTAGCAACATGGTGTGTGACTGCAGCTGATGCAAGAGCATAGACATATGCTTGTTCTTTCGTTCCTTCAATATAGGCAATTAATGGGCAGTGCTTATTTGATCAAAATTCAAGATTCAAGATTCAAATTAAATATTTTTTGGCCTGACAAATCAGTTTATTTGCTGTCGTTCCAAGACTACTATCTACTTTATAAGAACAATTGAATGCATCATTTTCCAGTAGAATCATTACATATATCCAAAATTCTTTCATTAAAGAAAAATACCGTTGGTCAAATCAGCCTTAAGATTTGGTGCCAATAAAATCGATGAGCAATTCCACCTTCGGTCCGCAAATGCTTTTTGGCATGTTGAAACTGTCGATTGAGCGGCGTGGATTATCACTGGCATTAATTCGGATATTCTTCGACACATTCTTGCCTAATTGATTGCTTTTGCCAAAATTTTTCAAAAAAATATAGAATTTTATAATTTGACATTTCGACAATTTTCTCCCAGTGAAATTCACTAACAAACAGATTAGTTCTTAGGCATTTAGCGATGATTTTTAACAGAATATAATTATAAAATATTGAAATTAAAAATTCATTATAGTCATTTGAAAAAAAAAAAAACATTCCCAGTTGGTTTCAAACGAGTCTTTCAAAAATATTGTTTTCGTTACAAAAATTACTCATTTCGCCGCTAATCGATTTACCATAAAATTGTGAAAGAATAAATTAAAAATATGGCAAATTTGAGTTGAATTATTTTAATTAATTAAAAAATTTTAATTCTTGGATAGAGAATGAAAAAAAACTAAATCATTCTATTCAATCATTCATTTATTTCTAAACATTTTTATGAAAATAAAAATTTTTTTGTCAAAAATTTATGAAAAAATTCAGCAAGTTAATATTAGTAAATAATACCATTGTAGTCCAGTCAACAGGTGGAGCAGCAGCACCACAAGATTTGACATGGTTTGTTTAAAGGAATTCACTAAGAATGAGCTCAAGATCGAGCAGCATGTTGTATGTTTTATAGATGATGGAATACTGTAGATCAAATTTAAAACTGCTTAAATGCCTCCGTAGAAAATGGTTTTTGATCATCTACTATATTCCATTAGCGATTATTGAGACATTTAATTGAAATCTTATTTTTTGATTTTTGAGGTAAATGCCACGATAATGGAGCTTCATTAATTGCAAACGAAAGCTTTGTTGAGATTAGCGACGAAATCTTTCCTCTCTTTAAGTTTGATTTTATTTGCCCAGTTCGAACAATTTTAATTGAGTCGTATTAAAATTCATATTGCTATTATTTCTTTCTTTTCCAGTGGCACTTAATCAGTCATTTAGTTAAATTAGAAAATTTTAAAGTTTGTCTCGTGTTGAAATACATTGATAATGAAATTGCATGGGAAATTTGAAAACTATAGAAAAATGTGGGAAAAATGATTTGAGGTAACTTTTAAAGCAACACGTTGCCATTAATGAATTACCTGATATCCAACAAGTCCGAATGCTTTCCTTTCATGCTGTTGCTTGGGGCAATGTTTGGGCTCAGTCCATAGATTTTTGACGCTATGAAGGGAACTGCAAAGTCGAAATTACTTTGCTGTTTGCTTCTTAAAACTTTGGAAAATCGATTACAAAACCTAAACTTTATATTAATTATAACGACAACGATAACTTACAGCCATTTAATACTGATGGAATGATGGAAGAATAAGATAAGTAAATATACCCATATGGATTTCATTGTAGTGAAATGGTTCATATCGCTACTAGCTCGACTAATAAATATAGGACTCCGCCTTTTAAGTATTAACAACTTCTACGATTTATTTTATGGGTTATTTTAGAAACATTCGTCTTCCTAAGCAAAATCTAATAACCAACATCTTTTTGAAAAGTCAACATTCCTCAATTCCAGTCAAATTTCGGTAATAAAATTTTATCTAAAATGATAATAATAGTAGCAATAATAATAATAGCAATAATAATATAGCAATAATAATAAAATAATATATATAATCAAGATAAGACTATTGAATATGAATGTGTTAAAGCTTGCAAAATGCGCCAAAAAACACCACTGAGACCCTATTAATTTAAGTCTACGAATTCCATTAACCGAAAACCATGGTTCTTCAGTATCAGAACCAGAATTACAGCAATAAGGGGATAAAGAATATGTGCATAAAAGCCGATTAATTCAAAATAACTAATAAAAAAGGTTTTCAGCAAATTACTTGAGAAAAGATAATGAAAAGATAATGATTGAAAACACTTCGAAAAAATTTTAAATTTTATAGGTCGATTGTAGGTTGTTGCAGAATGGGAATCTTTAAATCTTCTTTTGCTTTTGAGTCTCCATTTGCGAAATTTGACGAAATGGGTTACTGTATTCATTTTTTGCAAATCAAGTTCAATACATTGTAGGTAAAAAATTGCAGAACAGAATAGATGTCCACAATAAAATAACACGGTGTAGTAAAAAAATTTGAAATTTCTAAAACCTTTATGGCTATATAGCCAAAGATATAGTCCGTTCTGAAGAACAATGTTCTTGAATTTCCACTATTGAATAAGTGCACGAAATTCCTGGTTAAGCTAGCACTGCTGATTGTTAGTACAATTTAAAAAATTTTTTAGAGAGTCACTTGGCAACAGAAATAGAAAAAAAGTCGCCCGCATCACTCAAATTTTTTTAATGACAGATCAACTTCTGTAGGGGACAAGATCCTTGCCTCTCGAAAATCTATAGACTATCCATTCAGTTATCCTTTTCCTATTTTCATTGTGTGAACTGGAAAATCCCATTTAAAATTTTTTTTCGTCAGAATAAAAAAATTCAGAATAAAAATATATAATAGTAGCAAAATGATTCATTTTAAGCAATTTTATTATATTTATTATTTTCATCATCATTCAGTGAATGTAAATTTAGTACTAATATGAATTCATGTTCGAAAAATTTTTGCTGAACGATGCTCTTCATCTTTCAAGCAACATGAATCAGATGCCTTGATAGGAATAATTAGAGACTGTTCTTGAACATAGATTCGAATGGCTAGAGACGATTTAATTTTGCCTCTGTTCGTAATTTCTGGCACAATGAAAAAGGAATATCTAAATACCCACCAGCCAATGATGCAAGCCACAATAGAAATTATGCATCCTTATTTAAAAAAATGAAAAATGGAACATCACAGAATTATTTTTGAAGTTAAGGCGTTTCGTTAAATATATTAATTTTCTAATTATGAAAAATATTTAAGAGAAAATTAATTACATTTGATTTAATAGATAAGTAAAATGAATAGAGTGGATTTTGTTTTGCTAAATATTGTTATATATGTTGTAGGTTTGTTTTATGACTAATTTTGGCAATTTTAGCAATTAAAAAATAAATATACCAATACTAGCAGCGCTCACTATTTCTGGTTGGCTTAACCCAGTGACTATTAAAATGGAAACCGCTCACAAGGCAGTGAGTTCACTTGAGAATAGAAGCACAGGTGGACTGCCTGGATTCAGAAATGGACAGTCGATATGAATAAGAATCAAAAAGTATATCCATAAATTTTTCTTATTATTATTTGTAATACCACTGCATTTTTTTAATTTTTACTTATTATACTTAACTGACTAGCAATAATTTATCGATATCGTTCATTAATACTGCTTGATTAAAGTATTATTTAAAGTATATATATTAAAATATATATATATATATAAATATTTATATATTTAAGTATAATTTTCTTAAATTTATTTCAAAGATTTCTTAAATTTCTAGATTTTTTCGTTAAATTTATTCTTCACTTCATAGTTTATTCTGTGTGACTGATTGTTGTTCGCAATTTAATGAATTTTTTGTTGCGAGAAGTTTTCAAACAATCTTTTCCCATTAAAGTATAAGAACTTGCCAGTAAAAATAATTAATTATAATATAGTAATAATATCTAAATAATAACTAATAGACAATATAGCTAATGAAATAAAATTCCTTAATTCTTTTATTTAAAGGATATATATGTTTGTTTAACTAATTGAATTGAAATTGAATTTAATTTAATGATTTAATTTGTTTGAATTTTACCATATCAATCACCAATGATATTTTTAATTAATTTGTTAGCAAAAAATATTAATATTTTAAAATGATAACTTGGAAAATGAATCATAGAAATGAAATAATTGTTAAATTATTTAATTCTTTAAATGTAATCCAAACTTTATTTTATTCAAAAAAAGTGATTTAAAAGATTTGATAGGCCGTTAAAAAGCAATTAAATGAAAGGACTAGATTGATAAAATCTTTTCAATAAAATCATTTGTTTTATTATTATTTTATAGAAATTTTTTATTGTTCTTTAATAGTGATAAATAGTGATTGTTCTTTTTTTCTTGGATGAATGCAAATTTTTGGTGTCATTCAACAAGTAGAAAAATATTTTAGTTTATTTTGTGCAAAAAAATCCATTCTTGATTAACTTGACTACAAAAATTTTTTTTTCAGCAGCGAGTCACTTGTGGACTAAAAATTAGTCTTCAGAATCAACCAGATTTCATTTTAATGATAGGTTTGCCCACGCGAAGGTGCAGGAATCGAACCCATGGTGACTTAGTCGAAGTACTCGACTATCTTATCTCTGCACGAACAAATAAACTATGACAATAGAGAAATATTAGATTATCCTCGGATCCTCCGATAATCAAGTTTTCTGCAAATTTTATAACTTCTATTATAAATTTGAACTATTTAATCTATTCGATCCATTCAATGTATCGTAAATTAAAAAAAAATCTAATTGTATCCTGAAATTTATCTACCGTTTCGAAGAAAATTTTCGCTATTGATTTTTATTCCCTTCAGCTATTTGAGCTGCAACATTTCTTTTCTTTGCAATGAATGGTTAGCGTGGTTAACTCTCACCAGTCCTTGCAGCAGCAGCCGAACTTTTTTTCGCCAGCACAAGAACACAATTTAATTCAATGCAAGAACTAAATAAACTGGAAATTAAAATCTATCGGGAAAAAATATCGAACATTTTAAACAATTTTTACAAACAATGCCATAAATAATTTACATAATGAAATAAAATGAAATTCATAATTGGCTAATAAATTTGAAATGCAATTTTTTCTTGAAAATAATTTCGCTGATTGAAATCTCAAAAAAAATTGAGAAAATCAATGCATTTTTCAGAAAACATTAAAGAAAATAAAAAATTTTAAAAATTTAATGCAACACTGAATAGCTTTTTTATGCAAAATTTGTAAATAATTCGACGGCGAAAAATTAAAATTTTCAAATATTTTTAAAAAATTAAGAAAATTTTTATGCAAAATTCCATTTTCCGATCACATTTTTTTAAAATAAAGAGCTATAAAGCGGCGCTTAAATCGTTTTCGTGTACCCAATAAAGGTCCCACATTTCTTGAAACGTACTTATCAAATTTGGTTTGCTTTTATAAAATAATATATCCTAATATTTTAATTTAAACTTAGGTCACCTTGTAGGCCGTCTTCATCCTGAGAAAGTCGTACTCAAACTAATAATTTCTATTTAATTTAAGTGGTGATCAAATAATCTAAACGCCGTTTATGACAGTAACAAAATTTTTAATCTTCACAATGCCTATTTTATTATTTATTTTTATGGATTATAATAAAATTCCTAAGAAAAAATCCAGACAGACGAATAATAAAGTAAAGATAAAATGTATTTGGCAAAGTAAAAACTTTTTTTGAGCAAAAATGATTTGAAAAATCGAAGGAAAAATCGAACTTTCGTTGTTTTGAATTTTTTTATAAATAGAATAATAAAGGAAAATAAAATTTTTGCCAATATTTTTATGTTTAATATCATTTTAGATTGGATTTAAAAAAGCGAAAAACCATTTGAAAAAGTAAATTTATTAATATTTAAAAAAAATTAAGAGTATGAGAGTATTAATTTTGGGAGATTACATTGCGACCTTACCAGTAAGAAATGTTTCGAAAAAAATTCAAAAAATATGTTTTCAAATCGTCGCACATTCGTTGACATCTGCCAAAAGTTCGTTTTTTCGCCTGAAATCGCGTCAAATAGCCTACGCTCAAAAGTCCATAAGAAGTCACTCTCTAATCAATGTTATACTACCTCGACACTCTCAGCCATCATTACTAATTCTTGTTTTATAATTTAACTGCAATTCAAGAAAGGACATGAGATGAAAGGACATCGCTAATGCATTAAACCAGCACATGACACTTGGCAAATGTGAAAAAAGTTTGTGAAGATATTTGGGAAGTTTTTCACGACGTATAACAGCTTTCAGAAGATATCAAAGAGTTTCACTCGAGGGAAATCGAGAATATTTTGGCAAAATACGGTTTAATGAGCTGTTAAAGAGGATTAAGAGATATTTGATATTTGAGGATTAAGAACTATTCGACGCATCTAAGGAACATCCGTGGGACAGAGGAATATCTGTGGTCAAAACATGCAAGTAATGGTTACCAGTGGCTATGGCAAAGTGTAGTGAGGTTTATAGAAGTGTTAAGAAGGCATAACAGGTTCTAACGCAGTTTTATTCAGCAAATTCCCCATTATTTGCGTAGCTCAATATTTTTTTCATTCAATACCTGATGAATAAGCTAATCCATTATAAGGAGGAATGAAAGAAGCCGTGCCCGCACTCGTACCATCTTCGACAACCAATGAAGAAAGACAGTGGGTCACATTTCTCAGATTCTATCTTAGATTAATAATTTAAATAAATCCAAAAAAAATAATTCTAGAGGAACGCAAAAAAAGGAAAAAAGGATGCTGAAACCGGAAAACGAATTTCAAACTAAGGTTTTCCGAATTTATTCAATCTCCAAAACCTTTACGTAATCTGACGACTCCATTTCCGTGGATTGAATATCTCCACAAATCCTAACATTCATTAACAACAAAAGAAGTTTGATTTCTTTTTCCTCGATTAATTTAGAAAATATGATCATAACCGGTGATTTGCGATTTGCAGGAAATAGTGTCGGACAAAAGCGATTTCAAGGAAACAATCAAATATTTACCAGAAGTACAAATACAACTATTCGTCATTTAACAAATTTAGCGGCATATATTAATGCTTACTTCAGTTCACATCATAAAAATTGGTCTTTACAATAAATCGAAAGACAACATCAACCATTAAATAGAATGCAAAAAATGACTGGATAATTTCGCATTTTATCATGTTTTTGCGAGTGCATATAACAATTAACAATTAATGCTATATATAAAAATCAAATTTCAGAAATTAATGATTGAAATGAAAAGCGGCACAATGAAAAAAATAGCAAAGACTTTAAAATCCGTAGATGATAGCGTTCCCATCGGTGTAATAATCTCGTCAAAAGATCTACGTGAAGTGAATTGATTCGTAACAATTAAAATAATCTACCTTTCAAATAAGCCGAGAGATAAAAAGGCATTTCTCATCCTTTTTTTCATATCTTCGGGTTATAATGCTGCCTTATCAGAAATGTAAGAATAATTTTTCCAGATAAAACCGATACAAAACCCTTCAAATGAAGAATTAGCCAAGGAATCGACTCAGAAAAAGAAATCCAATTCAAACAAAATGAAAAAACAAAGACGAATCCATCACCGTTGAATATGAAAACCACCTAAACATAATTTGTAAAATAAAATACAAAACAAAAAAGACAACATTTATAAATTATGCAACAAATGTTGTAATAGAAACAATTGTTTTTATAAAAATTATTTTTATTACAGTATAAACGTTGCAGCATCATAAAAAAAATAAAGATTACTTCAAAAAAAAAAAAGTATATCCACTGATGCAATAAATAATGAATACAGTTAAAAATCAAAGTTTTCGAAGATCTCTTGTAGAAGCAGGTGTTGATGATCGAGATGAATGAGTTTCACCTAAAATATGCATTCTATTAACAAACACATATGTCGGCAGCCTGAATTACCACTCCTTCCATATGAAATGCCTAAATCGTGCCCAACAAATGAAAATAATAATAGTAATAACAAATGATAATGAGCAATAAATTATAAATATAATAAAGCAAGAATAGAACTACATTTTGCAAAAAACATTTAAAACTAAAAGAACCTGAATCTCTCCTCTTTCGACGATTCGAGATATGCCTGCTAATCACAGGAGGGGGCACAAAAATGCCTTGAACACGCGCTACTTCTTCTTTTTTCTTTATCAAATCATAGTAATCATTATCAGGCAAATAAAAATCCAACTTTTTAAAAAATTCATCAGGCATATATTCATTTGCTTCTATCTGAGTCATATCATACAATTCATTAAGTTTAGAATAAATCTGAAACTCTGCCATATGAATGGAAACATAATATTTATTTAGATAAATGACTGCTAGATTGTTTTTTACTTTTGTTGTTCTGAATACAATAAAATTAGATTCAAAAAAATGGAAAAAAAATTAAATCAAGTTTGATATATTTAAAGTTGTCCTAAAAATTAAAATTGAATTAAAGGAAAGAAAAAAAGGAAAATAAAAAAATTCAATGAAAGAAATTCTTAATATCAAAAGGACTAATAAAAACTAAAATTTACCTAAAAAATTCTGAATTTAAGTATGTTAAAAATAATTAAGAAAAAAAATTTAGCCAGTAAATTAGAATTAGAATTAGAATTAAAATTAGAATTAGAATTAGAAGTGAATTAGAATTAAATTGTTTATGAGAACTACTATAAAATATTTTTTAATATTTAGAATATTTTAAAAAAACATTTTAATTTATTTTAAATAATTTTAAATAATAATTAATTACATAATTTTAAGTAATTTATTAAATTTATTTTAACATTTTAACATTTTATTTTAACATTTTAAATAATTTTGAATAGCTCTTTTAATACTTTTTCGCTTGTATGGATCGCACTAGAGGAGCGATAAAGATCTTTTTTTATACCCTTTCCCTATCCCTTCCTAGCATTTCTTCTCTCCTTCCCTTTCACGTTGCGATATTATTTTCTCACTAATAATTTTTTTCCTTTTCTTTATCTGCTAAAAACACTTTTTTCCTCTAAATTGAATACCTTTCACCAGACAGTCAGCTGAGGATGGAAGAATGATGCTAGAAATAGTGGTTCTCGCTCTTTCTCTCAACAGACAGGAATCGGAACCATAATGGCTGATTATAGTCGAAGCACCCTCTAACTTATATCAATAAATATTCACCAATTAAAGAATAAAGAATAATCTTTTATCTTCTTTCCATCGTCATTCAATTTCTTCATTAATAAATAAAGTATCCATCAAGAATAGCCATAATTTCCTCAAGGAAATTCTATTTCGTATTTCTAGTTTTTATTTTAAGAGCCCACACTATTCGTTAGACCTGTTCCGCTGGCTTTTCTTACAAAAAAATATGCCAGGAATCCTTTGGCGACAAAAGTGAGTAGCCAGCATCATCCGGATTTTTAGACAGGCTTACCCCTGCGGGGGGTAGAACCTCAGCATTTGCGCTCCAAAATGAGCAACAATCTCCTCAATTCTACTTCCATTTCGCCTCTAATTAGCAATATTTGACCATATCTACTTCGCTTCTATGATTTTCTATCATTTTTTAATATTTTCTATCATGATCCAAGTTTCCCCACCAATAAATGAGATGAAAAATAAAGGTTGCCGCCGTATAAATAATCAAAATTTTATTGAATCACCAGCTTTTCTTAGCAAAAAATAACAAGCCTGATCCGCATCTGGCCTTATTTTATATTTGGGGCGAAAAACAAGTGGCCGGCTATTCTCATACACATCTTTACGTGATTCGAGTGTTTGTAAATCATCATCATCAAGAACATCTTCAAAATCCGTATCCTCATCTTCATAAACATTATTCATTAAATCAACCAAAGAACCAAGATGAAAATGTTTTGAAATCCCTGAAATTAAATTATGCCATAAAAAATTAGTAAAATTAGTAAAAAAAAATACACATAAGCAGTATTGACAATACTGAGTATTATATTTACACCTTGTGTCTGTATGTGTCACATCCGAAAAAAAGCGATTATCGCCTGAAAATGCGAAACCAGCGGTGAATTTGACATTTTATTCTGAGTCATCCACCATTTATGGTTTGACTTGTTAAATTAGCTAATAAAATTAAGAAATATTAAAATGATTCCTAGCCAGAGGTATAATAAAGAAATATGAATATGTCCCCAGCATTACCTTGATTTTACAAGTTCTCATTAAGGAATAAGATGATTTGACCATAGCTACGGCAACATACCACTCAACCAATCTGTCCTGGCCTCAAAAACTTCATATTACGTGATGTGCCGTTAACGCTGTTTGATGATTATAAATTCTATGTCCTTCCAGTTCTTCTAAATTTCTTTTCATACATCAAATCTCACCACATCTCCTTAATAACGCTCCATTCTGCTATATATCAACAGTTAAAATATAAAAAGACCAAAAAGATGAAGTGCCATAGAAAACAACTCTTCATGAGTTTTTGTAGCTGGTAGCCTTTCTACGCAAAAAGTTGAATAATAACTAGTCTTATTCCTATCTGGCATCTTACTAGTGGTTGGAAAAAGATTGACTAAAAGGCAGCACTGAGGCTCGAGCACAGCAATATAAGTGCATCAGATCTACTGAAACAGATTTACCACACTAGACAGGATTCTAGGCGCAGACTGAGTAAAAACGTCTTAGAAATAGTCCATAGTGGTAAAATGCAAGTAGAAACAAAATATATAATTATACTGAAAGGCACAACCAAGTAGCTACAAAAATACTTGTTCGGTAATGAATTAGAACCTACCAGGGATCCCTCAGAAAATAACGGAGAATAATAAGGCGAAGGTCATGGGGGATTTCTCTACCTAGATGGATGGACAAAAAATACTGGCCTCACCCAGACACTGTAGTACAATCCGACTAGTATTTTGTGTATCAATGAAACGCTCATCGATAATGTGATTTCATTTTCAACTGATAACTATGAATTAAATTTTGAAGTAACGTAAGGACAGAAATGCAGACGGTTTGAATACACGTTTAGGTGGTGGGCAGTATTACGCTTATTTCCAAATATGCTATTATTGATGATAATGTTTCCTTCTCTTTTGAGTCTTTAATGACTAAAAATTTGTCTCGTTAATATTTAAGCAACAAATATTTCACTCTTAAATCTATATCGTCCGCCAGGCTATGGTGGTAATTTCACCACCGAACTTATTTAAATTAAGGTTATTCATTGTGATTATACAATTGTTGACGATGTTGATATACAAAACAGAAAAATAACTGTATGAAAAACAATAGCAAATCTAAAATTTTCTGAACTTTTGTAGATATACTGGTTTAAATGTTAAGATGGCCACCAAGCATAACACTGCCTTAAATGTTGTACTGGCCTCCTCTATTTCTCGCGATTAATATCCTGTTTTAATATCCTTGGACCATTTTGTACCCAGTAATCACATTTATATTTCATTTAAACAAGGGATTTTATATTTCATCAAACTCAATCCATTGACCAAAAAGTTAATTTCCTTAATAACACCATACTATATCTCATATAGCGTTATATTCTTTTGAAAAAAGGCGTTAAGCCTATTCTCTTACGTTAAAATCTCGAAAAAAAATTGTGATGAACCTCTGTAATAACAAATATAAATTAACCAAATTACCATGGGATCTCTCTGTACATAAAGAATGAAATTAATAAAATTCCGTTATACTCTTCATAAATACTTTTAAAATAAAGAATAAAAGAAAAAACAAAATTTTAAAATGAACTTTTAAAATAAAAAAAAGGAATTTTAAATACCAACAGAAATTCTTTCTAGAACTACATTTACTACATTTTAAAAAAATTTGCAAAGTCAAGAAAAAAATTCTGCAGCATAATGATAATGTGATTTCATTTCCATCGAAAATGTAAAATACTTTTATCAATATTTTCTGGTGTTGATGATAACATTAACAGCCATTTTTTAAATGAAAATGATAATTGAAGATGTTGTACCTCTTTCAGTGAAATAATGTTATTAGATGTCATGCCTTAAACAAACTCAAACCATACATTACAGCAGTCCTGATAATATTTCACGAATATTTTATTTCTATGCAGTTTTGCTAAGCCTTCCTTTTATAAGAATATGAGTAATGAGCTAAATCCAAGAATCTGAAAAATCGTCCCACACAATTCCATTTCAGAAAAAAGGAAACACCTATGATCCTTTAATTACAAGCCAATCAACCTTAACCAAGCGGAGTACTGGAGAGACTGATCTCTCAAGCTGCTCCGCCCCATGCCATCGCTATTAATAATAGACATCATTCCATTTTCCATCATCTAAGTTCATATATCGCCCTCTATACGTTCAAAATCTTTCCTGATTATATTAGTCCAGGTCTTGATTGGCCTACCTTGCTTTTGACGCCATTCACCACAAGATTTTGTGATGGGCAACGAAGATCGTGTCCTAACCAGTGAAGGTGACGCTCTGTATTGCTAATATTAATGCAAGTGACATTCGAGTGAGGTGGATGCAATAATATGAGATTTTATCAGCTAGCAGACCGTAAAATATATCATAGACATGAGGCAGACATACAATTTGCTTATTAATATCCTCCACTCTCATTGGCTTATATTAACGAAATCAAAACTATACTAAATTCTACTATTTATCTTTATGCTCATGATTTTATTCTCATGATAGATCGGATAGTCTATATGTCTATCTTTCCGCTACAAGGTGAACTCAGCAAAACCGCCAAATGACTGTATGACAAACAAATCACCTTTTCCATTCAAAAGCGCATTAGATAGATATAAATTCGAAAGAAATTCGATCTTCTAATCTTTTTATTAATGGAAAAATAATTAGACGAGTCTAGAATATTTCAGATTTTGTTATAGTCATGGATGTAAATCTTCACTTCGACCTTCACTGCAAAATTGTAGTGGAGAAGTCCTCAAGAATATTAAACCATATTTTTCGGTCATTTCAAAACAAAAATCAAAGCATTTTTATCAAAATCAAAGCGTTCATTCGGCTTAGTCTTGTGCATATTCCTTTTTCCCGTTATTCCCCTACATGAAGAACTCCAAAAATACTTTCTATGTCGCTTTTCACCTAATAGCAATATCAATTATAAACTATAACTGTACAATCTAGATTGACTCTCGATTCGTCGAATTAAGATTTATTTTGTACATGTAAAACTCTATATGGCATATCAAATCAGACTATTCAAAATACCTATATATATATATATATATATCCATAATTTTAAATTAAATTTCAATGCAACAAGATCTAACGGTCTTAAAATAATAAAAACATGACTTTTTTATTCGCACCATTATTGGAATAAGCTGCCGAATGAAGTATTTTGTACATTATTCTTAGCTATTTTTTAAAAAAGATCAAGGTTCACGTTGGGCAAAACCAGAATAGATAATTTGATTTATTATGCTTAGGGCGAAGCGCTTCTGATTCTGGTAATGATAAACAAGCTGCCATCAAAAAATTTGGATGGCGTGTGACCAAAAAAGTTTCTTCTTTTGCAAAACACCTTTTTTTCACTTTTCATTTTTATTTTTTGATTTTGAATAAGAAATTAATCACCATTTCTGGTTAGACTCGATTCACTGACTATTAGTTCGGTAAGGAAAATTTTTTTAAAAGGTAATTTGGCGAGAGAAATGCAAGTGAGTTGCTAGCAACTGCCGATTTCTCAATAACCCTGTTTATCCTGACTAGGACCAGCCGTCATTCCTGTCTCTCAACACGTTAAATCAAACCATAAAACACTCGGCTATCGTGTCCACAACAGCGACCGGAAGATGAATTTTATAAGTTTTTATTTTTGTTTACTAATTAATAAATTGGTTTAAGTGATTAAAAACAGAGGAAAGAAAAAACCCGCTGGCTTATGGTCGAGAATTTTCTTAAAAAGGCGCATTTCGGCCAGTCTGCACCATTCGTTCGCCATCACTACTTCGCCAAAAACATCGACGCACTTCTAAAACACATTTCTCATAAAATCGAGTTCGACCTTTCCTTCGCTCACCGCCGAACTATTTTTTCCATCATTAAGCGATTCTTAAATCTCCAAAGTTTCCTCACTTTAAGCACATAAATTCCAAATTTTTCCCTTTTTCCTCGTCAATTTCTTTTTTTCCTTCAAATGACAATTCCGCAATTTTTACGAAAAATTTACTAACTAAACACATTTCACCTGACTTAAAAAACTGGTAAAATAAAATATTTCTTAATACTTTTCAATTCCTTCTTTAATTAAAGATCAAAGAAAAAATATGAGAAATGGAATTTATAAATATCTGGTGGTTCAAATTCGGAAAAAGTCGTACCCATTCGAGCATGTTCGGTGGTCGATATTTTTCATAGTTCGGACTTTTTTGATTTTTTTGAAGTCAAATTTCAATCGGATATGTTGAAGTGATTTACAATATAATTTTATCACCGGCTGATAAAATCGGTGTAATCATCTAGTATATGAGATAGAGTGTGTTTGGAGTAAGAATTATGGTAAATTTTATCTCTTTTCTTTTTATTTCCTCTTTAAACTGTTAATCTTTATCATACTTTCTATTTTTCTTATTACTAAATTTTATTATTTGTTTTTTTCTAACGATTGTTATTAATACAAGCACATGGCCTTGTCGCCCTGCTTGGCTGGTTTTCAACAAGTAAATGAATAAATAAATAAAATGACAGCGTACTACACTTTAAGTAAGTGACAAATGGCTACCATTCCTGATTAGATTATTTCCACTGGTTGCTAGAAATTTGGTTAGAATTTTTTATCAAGAAGTAACTTGGCGATAGAAGTATAGACGGTTCGCTAGCTTCTCTCTGATTTGCTTATGTCGAGATCAGAGTAATATTCTATGCCTTGCTTCTCGACACTGCGATCCAAGAACTAATTTAAACTTTTATGAAGTTCGTTGAGTGAACGGTGGATTTTACTTTTCGAGGATTTTTTCAATTCTCTCGTCAAATACAAATTGCTTTATCGCTAGT